TTCACGAGAGTCTTTTAGGCTAGAGCGTCCTTATACAATACAATTAATTTAAGATATTATCTTAGAAATCATGTGCGAATGAAAGATATTCTTAAAAGACATTATTGAAACGTGATATTCTTGAAAGACATTATTGAAAGATATTTTGGAAACCTTTATTAGAATATGATATTTTGATTCACTGAAATTGTTCAAGCAGTTATATTTTATACCGTAAATCGTGTGATATAGTCAATTGATTTTATAAGGTTTATGGTAAAACATTATTAATAAAAAAAACAACATAAATTTTTTTTAAAAAAAAAAAAAGAACAAGACATAAGAAACTCCTATTGATACATTTGATTAACAATTATAAGAAAAGAAAGTTTTATGAAAATTGTTTAGGTTGTTATAAAAAGTTGTAATAAAAAGTTGTTGTTATGTTATAAAAATGTCTGTAAATATCGTATAAGGGTTTTAATTTTCAATTTTATAAGAAAATATTATTTTACTTGACATAAAAAAGTTTTTTTAGGCTATGACCTGCTCCTGGTCCCCACCGGTTGGGTCCTTTTCCTCTGTTTTCTTTTCCTCTGTTTTTATCGGAATCAACCTTTCATCTGAAACTTTCAGGAGAAAAGTGGTGAATGAGATACAGATAACTACTAATCCAAGCACCACGAATCCAGTTGAAAGCGAGTCGGCATAATATTTGAATACTGAAGCAAATGCTATACCACCAAGCGTACCACCTGTCCCTATTAACCCAGCAACTGTACCATATATTTCAGGATCTATGAATGGTGCTATACCATATGTTGTACCGCAACCCGCCTGTAATTAATTATAATGAATTAATAAAAAAAAAATAATAATAATAAAATTGTCAAGTACACACGCGATTATAAAAAAATAATTACCTGGGTGAAGTAACTAAAGATAATCATAACAATAATAGATGATGTTAAGGTTGTAAGCGAGAATCGGAAAATGAGTAAAAATACGCCTTCCAATAACAAGACCAAGAATTGACTCATCAAACGACCACGCATTTTCAATTTTCGGTTTGCAAAATCGGATATCATTCCACCGGTTGCTCGAGAGAAAATGTTCATGAGACCAAAAAAAAAAGTTATACATATTGTAAATACAAATAATAAATTTAAATATATATATATTTAGATTTTATTTATAC